CTCTGCACCACGGCTGCCATGAATCTAATTTGCTGCTGACTCTCTCTCCAAATGGTGACATCAACTCAATGAACTGCACTACTTCACTGATCTACCCTTGGATGTCCAACGCCTCATCTGGAAGGGACAAGATAGGATCAGCTTGGCCTCTAAACTTTTGACATTTGTAGAGTTTTGTTGCTTTATGTATTTTGGCCTTTATTCAGGAACCTTTGGCTGTTGTTGGCTCATATTTAGTTGTTTGTTTAGCTATGTACGAGCCCAATCTCGGCTCACTTTTGGCGCACCCTTTCTCTTGGTTATGTATGAGTCATACACTCCAAGAAATTAATAATAATAAGAAAAGACTTGAAATGTTCACAAACTTCCTCAGTTGGTTGCATCAATTCGCTTTTTGGTTTCCTTCATTTGGCTTGGTAAGGGCCATCTTGTTCGTCAGTTAAAAAGTAGTATTCCTTTTTTAACAGTACTGATCCCTGTTTACCAGTAATGATCCATGTTTGTTTTAGGTGGTTAGGCATGTCTATATGTTTTGCTCTACTAATTAAAATCATCACTTTCTCTTAACTGGTGCACCTATTTGGTTTGGGTTGCACATACCCAGACAATTTTAATAGGTTCTCCTTCATAATATCCTTAATTGAAAGCCACTTCTAACTTTTTTACGAATACCTATTTCTGTTTATCTTATTGCTCATTCATCTTGATGTTTTCATTTCAGCTTCATACATTTTTGGACATTTTCAGCAAGTTAACATATATCTCTTCCAAAGAAACAGAAAGGACTAGATACTCCATGGAACACGAAAGGTTGGTATTCACTATCTTTGATTGAACTTTCAGATCATACCTTCAGAATGATTGTCATCACTATTCACAGGCAAAACCTCCAAACTTTCTTCAGAAATGTTATGAACCAAGGTACCAGAAATAACTATCTGAAACCCAAAAAAAAAAGATGATACTTAGATTGCATGTAAAAAAACATATGAACATGCCCAATATGTGCTTAAAATAGGAAATATATATATAGTATATTACACCTAGAAAAATGCATTCCAATTTTTTTTTTCAAAAAGAATTATTTACAAGTAAATTGAACTCCAAGATATAATATCACACTAAAGATGACAAGAGAAGTCTCACCCAAAAAAATGTACAAATATGATATATCTAGTAGTAACAAAGAAGGAAAAATTACGACCTGAACAGAATGGTTGAAGAACCCGGTTATTAATTTCTGATGTCGCTTGGACAGACAAGGGAAACCCCTTGCATTTGTTAGAAATGACTATCAAATCAAAACAATAAGCATATGTTAGCATCATATAATGGACCATTATTGTGTCCAAATTTTGAACATTCAAAATTTTAGAAAGAGCTTACAGTGGTATGAACTATTGCCGCTCTAACAGGCTCTCCAAACCAACGTCCAAGCGAGTTCCCAGAGGGTAATGAGCTCCTGAATGGAACAAACAATTAAGTTCTTGTTATTGTAAACTTTATGTACACCAATCCACAAATTCATGGGGAAATTTATGAAGCAAGAACATATTCCACTTACAAAATGTCAAGAGCTACAAATAGTTGACTATGGTGTTCACAGAGCAGCCTGAAGGAATTCCACCATTCCCAGGAATCATGCACTTCTTTACTCTGCAAGACGAAGTCATTGCATTGAAGAAAACATGATAGTGCAGTAAAATAAAATAATTGTATACAACAACAACAACAATAAAGCCTTTATCCCAAATGCTTAGGGTCGGGTACATGAATACTAATCTTCCAATGTATTCGATTTTTGGAAAATAAAATAATTATTTATTAGAACATAAAGGTTTTCATGAAATTGCCACTGACACAAACCACATAAAGAAGCGCACACACAGGGAGGGAAGGACACTCACCAAAGGATTAGAGTTTGCACCTGTACTTTCTTCATCCATGAGTTCCGACTTTGTCAATGGCACCCTCAGCCACAACTTTTACCAGCAACATTTATGTAAGATATATTAGAACCCAACAGATACACTTCTCATATGAAAATCCTAAGAAAGGATGCAGGAAAATACCTGCATGCTGTGTGTACCTTGCAAGAGCTGGTTAACACATCTTGCATAATTGCCACAAGCACCTCCTCTTGGGGGAGGAGGAAGAAGACAAGCCTGTGATATGTTTTACAAGAATTAACAGTCTCCAAATGGCCAAAAAAGGGATTCGCAATGGATACACAAGTTGCAAAGGCGATGCATAAATCAAAACTCTGAGGGGAAAGTACTACACGTGTACATGGGACTTCCTCCACAAATAGCACAACCAAAAATTGATATCATTTATAGACATATTCCAATGAGTTCTATTGACAAGATGACCCTTATATAGCACATAATAGAAGAAAGCTACATGAAGGAGAAGCCTGATGAATTTTTCTTCAAAAGTTCTCTAGTTAGAACAAAGCCAGAAGCCATCTTTAAAAGGGGAGTCAAGAAATCAATTTTGAAGGACATTATTCTTTTTGTTTATTAATTAATTTGTAATGGGCCAAAATCCATCATAGCTGTAGCCTTTACTCTCATCACATGTAGAACATCACCATCTAGCCTCATTTTCTCCTTCAGTGGACACAAGAATAGTACTCCTAAGAGCATTACATACAATTCATATTTCACAACTAGCAAGCAAAACCCAGATGTAGCTGAAGCTTGACTTATCACTTCAACAAATAAGCTCATGCAAGCTGTTATCACTTGTAACTTACCTGTTAAGACTGCCAAATAAAGAAGTTACTAAAAGCCAAGCGAGCCCCAAACATGAAGACTGACCTGCAAGGAGAGATGGGAAGCCCATGAAATTTCTTGCTTCAGAGCTACTTCTGAATCCCTTCTAAGTATCTCATCATCTGAGTCCAAGTCAATCCACGAGCTAATTTTCCCTGAATAGAATGATTAAGAATTTGCTCAAACCAATAAGTAAACCTAAATGGCAAGTGTTCACACATAATGTTACATATAATTATCAATAAGCCAGAGAAAGCTGAAAATTGTTCACAGCTATCACCAAATAAACCACATGGAGAAAATGACAAGGAAATAACAGAGATAGTACATTCCTAAGCAAATTAAAACATAATGCGTGGAAATATTCAAGAAAAACAATTATCAGCTGACAAGCGCTTCTTTTTTTATTAATTGGAAAGCATGACAAGCATTTGGGGCACTGGAATTATATTATTAACTTTTAAATAGATATCAGCATAAAGAAGGAACAAAGAATTAAAAAAAGAATAGGATTTGTTAGGAAAGACATAGTAGCATCTCATGGAATATAAGCAATACTTCTATGAATTGCTTATAAATATTTGCTTGAACATGATGAAGATTGAAGATGATGCACTTCCAGTGAATTCTCTTTATTAAACTTCTATATAATTTGTCACCGACTTAAATGACTAAAATTATGATTTTGAAGCACTGGATAAGCAGTTGCTTTTCAGCGTTATTAAGTTAATTCTATAATTCCCACATTTATTCTTGAACTGAAGTATTTAGAAAACAACAAGAAAAGCTAAATGTAACAATATTAAGGTTGCAGACTTCTGACTTGTAAAAGGTTAGAGGTAATGCATATAGCCATCTCCTAAGGGAGTTTTGTTTCGTCTTTGTTGGAGGAACACCAAAAGCCCACAATAGCATATATCGCTGTAATTACAGCAGTTTAAGCTGCACATTTGTGTTTCAATGGGCATGTTTTCATAACTACATGTCGAAATCATTAAAATAATTGCTATCTTAACTAGATTCTATATATTTCAATATAAAGATGTTAAGGTCATGCAATAGTTAAACTTGATCGACGTTAGTTTGCAATTTTGCATCGATTCCTGTCAGAGCTGCAATTCTTTTGCATGCAGTTGTTGCTCAGGCAATAAGTACTAATCAATGCAGAAATATTTATTACCTTAAATAACATTGGAGATTTGTGCAGTGCAAATATTTAGATTCTGAACATGTTTGCTAAGCATTCTGACACTAGGAAATATAACGTACATTGCACGGTTAGCACTTCGAAATATGAAGCAATTGTGTTGTTAAACTACGTAAATTTCAATCCTTAGTTCCTTACAAATTCTTGATTGTAGTAATAGTATTGTGCTAAATACGAGCTCAACTTAGCAATACTTGTTTACCGGTTTGTTCCCATGGTATCCTTTTATCTCAGTGCATTGATTCTACATTTTCTTTGCATAAGAATTCCTCTTTAATTTTTGAAAGACTACAATGATGCAGAAGCAGGAGCACAGAGAGGTTCTGACACTAAATTAATTTAAAAAACACAAATTACTAGAGCTAATTCGTTCAATCAAAACAAAGCATATAAAACATGCATACCAACTACATGACTACTCCATTGTGACGGACTAAGGATTAAATCTGATGATGCGAAAGGTATTACTGAACTTCCATTGCCATCTTTCTTCACTAAACTAGGTCTATAGCTCGGATCGACCTGTATCATGTTGTAACCACATTAGATTAAGGAGAGTGAAGCGTCAAAAATGAAATCTAGAAGAACTCAGGTAACAAATTTATAAAGAGCAGCACAAAACGCAATACTCCAGAACAAAGATAGAGGTAAACATAATGCCACTATATGCGACATACTTTAAATGGTTGCTTATAATCTTTTCTCCTAAACAAAATTATATGAGGTATAAGTTTTACCAGGTAAATAAAAATTTCAAGGTGTTCATTATAAATTCTAGTGTACATATGATTTTGGAAATTCTTGCAATTAAGATAAATAGACAAATGAATGTAAATTGATTTATTAAAAAAAACAAGTCCATGACTTGATGAAAATACTTTTAACTTCATAACACCAGAAGCCCTAAATCCATATGGTTACCAACAGAACCAGTTTACATAGGGAAAGTTAACAAACTCCACAGGTGTGCTGGGCAACGCTCTGTTGCTTATGCTTCATAAGTCCTTTTGTAGGACTCGTGCGATTACATCTTTGAAAATATATTTGTTATATGGACAAGATGGTCAGTTTATTTGAAGCTTTAAGCATTTATAAATTAAAAAACTAATTGTTTGAAACAGATTTGCTAGAGTAAGGATAAATAAGGTTCATGTGGGTGAAAAATAAGGGAAAAGATTCAATTGAAGGAAAATTTGTGAGAGATCTTGCAAGACGAAATGTGTGTGATCTTCTGCTTCTGCGGTTAAAGCAGCTAAATTACTCGACTTCTTCGAGTCACAACAACCCAATTCGGCCTAAAACATTTCTTCATGAATTAAATATCCAACCTAAAATTTTGCCAGATAACACTTATTTGCTTTAGAAGCAGTGAAAGCACTTATCATGATTAATGACAAACACCCATGTATAGGGTCAAAAGTCTATTCACCTCTGAAAGAAATTAGACATTCTGTTACTTGACAGATTTTTGTTAACCATAAATGAAAGTTATGAAACAATCTAAAGTAAGGAAACGATTATCCTGCAACACCAAAAAAACAATCATCAAGGTGCCAGTACCATAATCCTAAATATGGGGAAAACAGACAAATTCAAGTGAAGTATCTGAAGGAAAACAAACTGTTGTTTTCTCAGGAAAAAGCATCACTACCCACAAGGTCATTAACCATTTCCAAAATGTTTGTAACAAAGGAAAGCCCAACTAGGAACTTATGTGACTGCCAAAGTGGATGTCATAAAGTTTACTAAAGTGGAGAAATAAAATCATTGGAAAGAAAAAAAATGAGGTGAAGCAATAAAATCATGAAAAAGGGATAATGACATTTTAGTGATAAGTGTGCACACTATCCAGACGGTTTTTTCTGTTATTGATAAAAGTACTATATATGACCAAAATAGGTACAAAGAAGTAGAAAAATCAGCTTGACAAGAATTTGCATGAAAAAAATATCTAAAGGACACAAATCATGTTTCCCCTAAATATAGACACTACATTAGTATAGGTGAGCTTACTGACCATTCACACAACAAGCATAGCCAAGCTGGCTACTTATGTGATTGGCTAATAGGCCACCATAACATCTGTTTATAGTGAAAGCAATATATATGGCCAAAAAATTTCTGGACCATTACACCTTTTACCCAAAAACTTGATCCACATACAAAGCTTGCTATTAGTTCGTATACCTAAACAATTATGACGTAATTATGAAGCTTCCTATTACTACGAGGACAAAACTATATAAGTCAACCAACATAATTTATGTGTGGTATGTAAAAAGGGGGAAAAACAAAATTCCCCTTCGAAATGCCAACACTGCATTAGTATAGGTGAGCTTACTGACCATTCACATAAAGAAATAGGCTACTAGGCCATTATGTGACTGGCTAATTGGCCACCAATTCAAGGAAATATATGAGCTATAAAACCAAGCATGCATACTGACATGTAGCAAAATATATTTGATTGGCTAATTGGCCACTGTAAGACTTGTGGAGACTGAAATAAAACTACAATGAGTGAAATCCCAGCCCCATGCAAAAACATTTACCCAAAAATCTCATTCATCTATATGGGCATTGCTTTCCAGTTTCACTTCACTCTGCATATCTAAACAATTACAAAGCAATTGCAAAAAGTTTCCAATACAACAACAATAAAATTCATAAATAAACAAACATAATTTAAGTGAGGTATATAAAGGGAGACAAAAAATGGCAGCCCTTAGAAATACCAGCACTGCATCAATTTAGGTGAGCTTACTGACCGTTCACACAAAGCCGTTAGGCCGCTTGGGCCTTTATGTGACCGGCTAATTAGCCACCATTTCAACTGTAGTATAAGCTACTATAGGTAGACAATTTTATTGGATGTCATTATCTAGTGAATCTATGCAATTTCAAAAATAAGTAAAGCATTCATGCATTATTTTTTCAAACTTTTCAGCCGCACATCAGTCCGGAAAAGTTTCTCAATAAAACCAGGAGCAGTAGCCAAAAACAATCGAGAAGACTATTACGTACGAGACTGTACTGGGCACATGATATCCCTCAACTGAAAAACATAAATGCCATAAAGTCAACTATTCAAACTGTGTGGACAAAAGGATTGCCTTTTCTTTAAACTATGAATTTTCACCTCAATAATCCACCAAAAATTTCAAGTCTGCATATCAAGATAACCAGTCAGTTCGCTTAAACATTCTAAGCCTATAACTTATGATCAACAAATTGGCCACTATAAGACTTGTAGGAGTTCAAGAAACCTTCAGACGTACACCATCGCCTTTTCCCAAAACCCCATCGTGTGTTTAAATTTCCAAGCTTTGCACTCATCTAATAATTACAAAGCAATTGCAGCATGTTTCAACAAAAAGAAAAAAAAAAACATAAATCAAACCAACATAATTTAAGTGAGGTAAATGAAGGGAGACAAACAGCGCAACCCCTTTAAAAGATACCAACACTGCATTAATATTGGTGAGCTTACTGACCATTCACACTAGCAAAACATAGCCACAAGGGCCAGTATGTGACTGGCTAATTAGCCACCATTCCAACTCAGCAATAAGCTATCTCGTTCTCACAAAAAAAAGAAATTTGCTGCACGCAAATAACCCGTCGAAGTCTCTCAACAGAGATCAAGAAAGTTTCCAGATTGATCAGACCCTTAAAAGATTAAATTTTTTTTCAGTACAGTACAGATACTCCTGATAGACAAATATAACTCCTAAAGGAGTTCGTTTTAGAATAAAAAGAAAAAAAAAAGAAAAACTAAGTAATTGTGAGCTAGAAACTAACCAGAGGGGCGAGGACGAAATCGAACCCAGCGACGAGATTGTGATTGAGGAGCTGCGGCATGTCATCGTCGAACTCGGTCTCGACTCCGCAGTAACGGGAGTCGCTCTTATTATCTCCAGCTCTCTGACCTAGCGGCATTATGGATCAAATGATGAAATTTTGAGATAATTAGTCTTCGTAAAAGACGGAGTCCTTTTTATGGAGAAATCAAGGAGAAAGAGGGGGGGGGGGTTGGATTTTTTTTTTTTTTTTTTGGGGGGGGGTTTGGTTTTTTTTTTTTTTTTTTTTTTTTTAAGAAGAGAAGGGGGAAGAAGAAGATGACGATGAAAAAGAGCGGCGACAAGAGCGGAGGGGCTTTAGGTAGGGTTTTTGCTTTAGGTAGGGCTTTTCTCTAGAGCGAGTATTTATACATGGAAGTCAAAACACAAAGTAAAAGGACAAAATTTTGAAAACACGCAATTTTCACATTTATATAGCAAATTCGATCTTTTCTGGAAAAAAAATAGCAAAACCGACCCTTTTTATCTTTCAGGTGAAAAGGATCAGTTTTGATGAGGAAGTGTTTTTCAAACTGCACGGGACTAGCAGTCCCGTGCATTTCGTTTTCTTTTCGAACTGCACCCGTGCATTTCAAAACTATCTGATGAGTGCAGTTCGAAAAGAAAACGAAATGCACAGGCCTGCTAGTTCCGTACAGTTCGAAAAACTCTTCCGCAGTAAAACCGCTGCTGAGTGCAGTTCAAAAAGAAAACAAAACGCATAAGACTGCTAGTCCCGTGGAGTTCGAAAAACTCTTCCGTAGCAAAACCGACCATTTTCATCTGAAAAAGGTCGGTTTTGCTGATTTTTTTAAAAAATGGTCGCTTTTGCTATATAAATTTGAAAAATGAGTGTTCTCAAAAAATTGTCCCAAAGTAAAATACATTGCCTTAGGGAACTGAATTATTGTTAAAACTAGAAAAATAAATAAGAAGTGGAATATTAGTTTATATATTTATTTATTTAAATTTATGTAATATTGTTTTGGACAACTTTTCAAAACCAACTTGTTTACTAAAAAAATCCCAAAAAAATACTTGTTTCAGATTTAATTTTAAAAATCGACTCAGTTTCAGCCTCTGGGTCGGTTTTTGAAAAAAAAGTTTTCAAACTTCACGGGAGTTGAAAGCTGAAACTGAGTCGGTTTTTGAAATTAAATCTGAAACAGATCTTTTTTTGAAAATAAGTTTCAAAACAGGTCGGTTTTAAAAATCTGTCCTATTGTTTTTTAATAGGAAAAATTGCTTCTAGGCCCCAAATTTATATTTTCAATGTGCCCCAGCCCCTCCTATTTTTTTAAATGTTCTTTAGCCCATTCTTTTTGAAAAAAATATGTCCAAGCCCCTCCATCACTCCTCCATCATGATTCCAACTCATTTCAGCAGTTGATTAGACATGTCAGCTCATGGTTAGACATATCAGCTGACTTAAATCCTAAATTTACCCTCATCTTTCTCATGTCAGTGGATGTTAACTCTTTTCTGTAACATGTTAACTCTTTTCTGTAAAATATTAACTTTTTCTGTAACATGTTAACTCTTACAGATAACATGTTAGTTCTTACAGCTAACATGTTAACTCTTACAGCTAACATGTTAACTTTAACAGCTAACATGTTAACTGTAAGAGTTAACATGTTACAGAAAAGAGTTAACATTTTACAGAAAAAGAGTTAAAATATTATAGAAAAGAATTAACATGTTACAGAAAAGAGTTAACATTAATGTGCTCATACGAAGTTCCTCGGGACGGCGTCGGCGGCGGAGCGGGGAAGGGGGCAAAGGGGGACCGAAGGAGGAGAACAGAGGGGGAACGGAGGAGGAGGAGGGGGGTGTAAGGGAGGGTAAAATGGGGATTGTGTATGGAGTTTGCATGGGAACTTGGGGAGAGGGGCTTTTATAATTTTTTCAAAAAGGAGGGGCCGTAGCACATGTTTGAAAGTTGGGGGGCTAGGGACATTGAAAATATGAATTTGGGGCCTTGAAGCAATTTTTCCTTTTTAATATGATTTTTTTTAGGTAAAGAGGGGTCACCAACTTTGCATTTTCCGGATGATTTCAGCACTTATTTAAAAAATCTAAGTACGCGTTAAATTTGACGTTGATCACATTTTGCACTTCACTTTCACATATGCTTTAAATAGGAAAACACGTCTAAAGTGCTGAAAACATGTGTCACTCTCACAATTTTTATTTTTCACTTGTGTACAGACAAACACCCGTTGTGTTGTATTGTTTTGATGGACAAATTTTTAAAACCAACCCCTTTCACTATTTATTTTTAAAAAATGACCGTTTTTGCAAAAAAATTTAAAAACCGACCTAGTTTCAGTCCTGGAGCTGAAAACCAGGTCGGTTTTTTAAATTTTTATCCGAAACTTCACGGGAGTTGAACTTCACTTCACGGGAGTTGAACTCCCGTGAAGTTTAGTAAAACTGCTAAACTTCACGGGAGTTGAACTCCCGTGAAGTTTCGTAGTTCTAATTTTTTTTGAACTGCGAAACTTCACGGGAGTTCAACTCCCATGAAGTTTAGCAGTTTTACTAAACTTCACGGGAGTTCAACTCCAGTGAAGTTTCCGAAGTTTTTTCACAAAAACCGACATGGTTTCAGCGCCAAGGCTGAAACCAGGTCGGTTTTTACAATTAAGTTTGAAAGGGGTTATTTTCTGAGATTAAATTTCCAAATAGGTTGGTTTTGAAAATTTGTCCTTGTTTTAGTTGATTTGTTATTGCTGCTTTAACTGTTTGCAATTATTTAAATCATTCTATTGTATTATTTTGGTTGTTAATTTGTTACTGCTGCTATAAATATTTGTAATTATTTACAGGGGCGGATCCAGGATTTTAGTTCTGGAGGGGGGCGCAAACAAAAGATAGATAATAATTTTTCTTAATGTAATTTTATTCACAAGAGATATACTACAACCCAAATAAAACGAGTAGAATAGCCAACATCAATATCTCCAAAATATTTCAAAAGAAGAAGACAAATATTATATAGAAAATAGTCAAATAAGCATCATCTATTTTTTTATAACTAAAATTTTTCTAACTAAAAGGAATTCGACGTTCCTTAAAATTTTTAAAGTATTCAATGATAGCATCAATGCTCAGACTTTTAGCAATTTCTCTTTCAATAAACACCATTAATGCGTCAGAGAGGAAAACATCCTCCATTTTGCTTCGAAGCCTAGTCTTGACGATATTCATAGCTGAGAATGATCGTTCTGCAGTAGCAAGCCTAGTCTTGACGATATTCATAGCTGAGAATGATCGTTCTGCAGTAGCAGTAGAAACTGGAAGAGTAAGCACAAGTACGATCACTCTAAAAATGAGGTCGTATGTAGCAAATTTATTAGTCTTTACCAACCATTGACACAACTCAGAAATGGTTGAAAGAGTTTTAAAGTCTGACCCTTTGACTACATTATGTTCATAATGTTTCAGTTGCATCTTCAAACTCTCTTTTTCTTCACTTGTAAAATCTTGTGCATAAAACTTGCCAACCAATTTGCATATATCTTGTATTCTCAAAGCCTCAGATGCATTTTGAGGATTTAAGGCAGAACTAAGCATGAGCAATTCTGTCGCATCTTTACTAAAACGCATATTAATTTTTTGCATTTGTGAATCGATCGCGGCATAAAAAAAGTCTACTCGATAATGATGCCCAATGGTGATGTCTTGATGACCACGAACTCGACGTCGTCTATCAACATACTGAGCACTAAAATCAGGAATATTAATGTTACGAGCCACACAAAAAGACTTTACTTTTTCAAGCAAATTATCTCACTTGTCATCCCTTAACTCTTGTAGTAATCTTTTTGTAGATGACACAAGCTCCATTGCATTCGAAATGTCTTGAGACTTCCTTTGTAAAGTCTGGCAAAGAAAATCTGTGATCCCCATAATCTCACTCATTAGATGTATGATAAATACAAAATCGAACGAAGTCATTTCATCATAAACAGATGTTGCATCGGCTCGTTGGGAAGGAAGCCCATCCTCCATAACTTTGAGCAACACCGTACATGCTGCATTCAAACTTGATAATGATCTGAAATGAGAACTCCAACGCGTATCAGCAGCTTGTTGTAAAGTGCTGATCTGATCTGAAATGAGAACTCCAACGCGTATCAGCAGCTTGTTGTAAAGTGCTGATCTGATTAAGTCCAGGCATTGTCTCGAGTTCATTAATAGAAATCAAATGGGCAATGTCATCCGCGTGAGCTTTCTTCAATTCATCATTACGCTTGCAAGAAGCACCAACCATATTAACTATAGAAATTAATTTATCAAAACATATGAATGGGAGTCAGATTTTTTGCTGCCGTAACAAGAGCCAACTGTAGCCGATGAGCAAAGCAATGAACATAGTAAGCAGTCTTACAATCTTTCATAATCAAAGCTTGCAATCCATTGAATTCACCCCTCATATTACTGGCCCTATCGTAACCTTGACCTCTAATATTTTGAACATCCAAATTGTAATGAGCCAAAGCAGAATATATGGCATTCTTTAAAGTCAAAGCTGCAGTATCGGAAACATGAACAAGCCTAAAAAAACGTTCTTGAATGAATCCATTAGTGTCTACAAACCGCAACACAATAGACATTTGCTCTTTTTTTGACTCATCACGGGCTTCATCAACAATAATGCAATACTTGGCAACTCCAACTTCTTCACGAATTGCATTTTTCAATCTCACTGAAAACACATGAAGTATTTGTTTTTTAATATCATTAGTTGTATATTTGGCATTTTTGGGAGCTTTCGCAATTGCCTTTAAAAGTTCGTCATTCTCCATGGCCAGCACATCCTTCAAGAAAATTACCACGATTGGACGAACTAGATTTCTCATCGTGGCCTCTAAACGGAATCCCTTGGAGTGCAAGCAATCGCACTAGATTTCTCATCGTGGCCTCTAAACGGAATCCCTTGGAGTGCAAGCAATCGCACCACAAGTATGTGAGCTCTTAATCCCTTGGAGTGCAAGCAATCGCACCACAAGTATGTGAGCTCTTAACCGAAGACGATTTGTTACAACTTGCTCAGCATTGAAGTTGTCGAATCGCCTAGATATATGCTGAGGTTGGTTCATCAAATCCTCACATGCCTTTTCAGCATTACGATGGAGTGAAGATACATTATCTTTTCCTATTTCAATGAAACCCCCTTTATCGATCCCTTAAGAATAACTCCCTTTATTAATAAACCCCCTTAAGAATAACCATTCGCTAAATACCTCTCCATAAATTTCCAATTTCAATGAAACCTCCTTTATTAATTTTGTTGCTGCTCATGGTAATGTATTTACTATTAATATATACATAAAACCCCTCAAATACTTAATATTCACAAACTATTTTTTTCCCCAAATTAGGAATAAAGTACCCTAATTTTCCTCCCCAAAATTTTGAGGGGGCTTGAGGAATAGATCACCCTAATTTTTTCCCTAAATTGG